ATCTCTTCTAGGCAATTTCTGGGAAAGATTTTTCTCTTCCCTAAGAATCATAGAGAAAGACATCATAGGAAAAGATTCCTTCCTGCTTTGAAATGCTATCATTATAAAGAGGATGCCAAAAAAAAAAAAACCTGATTGAGCCATATTCTACCACGAGAGGCCATCATAATCAAGATGGCAACACAAAGCCATGACAAGAACCTGAGGATAGCCTTCTTTTAAGGACACATGTTGAGGTATGTTTAGGGAGGGAGAAGGAAAGGAGAAGACAAGTTCTGCAGAAAGAGTAGTTCTAGCATTTTTCAGGATGTGACTGTCAAGGGAAGAGATGAGTGCTTCCAGTTTAAGTCATTTTTCCATCACTTCTCGGGGAAAAAAAAAACACCTCATTATTTCCGATGTGGTCTTAATGTTTGTGCTTCCCTTCAAGCTCATAACCCCTGATTTTAGGAGACAGGGTCTTTGTGAGGTAGTTAGGTCCTGAAATGAAATGAATGTTCCTTCCCCGTCCACCAAGTGAGGATACAGCAAGAAGGTGACCTCTTATCAACCTCCAGAACTGAGAGAAAGGAGAATTCCTGTTGTTTATAAAGGGGCCAATTTATGGTATTTGGTTATAGCAGCCTACATAGACTAAGGCACCCTCTGATCTTTATTCCTCAATTCATGCCACTTCTTTCTTTCTTGATCCTAAAGGTCATATTATACTGTGCACAGTCAGAAATAACCTATTAACAGCCGAATTTGAAAGACATTCCTTAACATCCATCATGTTGGACCAATTTCCCACTTTTGGCTCTCCTTCTGGAGATTCCCTGCTCTTGGGTTCCATAGCCTGTATTACCATAGTTTGGGCCAACAAATTTCACAATCTTCTCCCAGCTGCCTCTCATATGTGGGCATTGGATAATCTTACACCTTCTAAAGAAAAGTTGAATTCTTTACCTGTTCCTAGGAGGTCAGCACTAGGTATATGGAATATCCTGTTTGTTAAGTCAGTCTTTCTTTTTCCAGGGGTGTTGAGTCATGCTACATTACACTAATGATGTAATCTATGGTAGGGGCCTCAGGCTCCCTCAGCTTCACCCATGGAGAGACTGGAAACGCAGGTCAGTAATATGAGCTATGGTCTTGTCTATGTGACTAACACCTTATTACTATCCTTGAGCAGCAAGGCTTGTATGAACTTTCTAGTTGGCAAACCTTCACTGGTCTTGTCCCATAGAGATGATGGGACTACTTAGTACTACTAATACAGCTCCACAAGGACAGGACCATGGGAAGTCTGTGCCTGGTGTCTCCTGGCCTCTTCTTTACATAGTGTGTTTCTTGCTGAATCTTTCTGAGTCTGTCACCTTAGATGCTATATAAACGGTAACTATGAGAATAGCAGCTCTGCTCACTTCTGAGATCCCCCTGCTAATCATTAGGTCCTGAAATGAAATGAGTGCTCCCACCCCTGGGAAGGAGTGCTACTTCCTTGGAGTTCTGGATAAGGCCCTTCCCGGACCTTCCCTCAGTCAGGCTCACGCAAGGTTACAGCTTTCATTGTCTACTATGTATTCAGATCTATAGCAGCAGCCTAGACTTCTCTCCTGGGCTCTGCACCAGAAGTATCCAGCCCCTGGTACATTTTCTTGATGTCTCACAGGGTTCTTATGAACCGTTTACTTGCCCCATTCCCAACCTGTCTCCTGTATTCCCTGTCTTCTACCCTTCCATCATTAGAAATCTGTTTCTTCCCTGAGGGCATGAACTGTTCTGCTCTGAAATGGCAGCCTTTAGCATAGCAGCTCACAGATAACCCACACTATGTTTCTGTAAAAATAAATAAATAAAAAGTAAGTAATTAGCCCACTGTTAAATAAATTTCATTTCTTATTAACAAGCCTATTTTAGAGAGAAGTGATAATAGTACTGGGTTTGTACTGAGCGCCTTGTTCTTGCAAGGCACATTCTCTATGGCTTGAACCACACCCCCAGCTCTTTTCATGCTTTTTTTTTTTTTTTTTTTTTTTTTTGCTTTTCCTACATAGCCGGGATGACAGATATGTGTCACCATGCCCAGCATTTTATTGGTTGAGATCAGATCTCTCAATCTTCCTCTCACTATCCCATCCTGACTGCCCTCAAACCACACCACCAGCCTCTTACCGATAAGGATGTGGATTTTCTCCATACTGAGCCAAAAGCCAGGATAAGCCATGTCCTGCTAATAGGGGCCATAATGGGGGTAACAAACCACTTAAGGGGTAGGAAGAAATGGGTGCAGCGTCTGTAGACAACTGAAAGACAGTAATAAAATGGACTAACATTTTGTCTACCTTTTATTTTCACCAAATGCTGGTGATTCTCACTAGGTTAGTCATTGTTGTGCTGATTAAAAAAATGAACAACTGGCTCTGTGGGTAAAGATGTAGACATATATTTGCTCATATGTGAATTACAAATGTTATTGGCATGAATGTGCAGCTCAGTTTTGCAAATAATGCTTCACTTGAAATTTCATACCATTGTCATAAAATACTCTTGTTTTTTTCCAGACTTCTACTTTATCCAACCCATGACTGCAACTCAACTGTGATTTAACAAATGAAATTGCATCTTAATCCACTTTTGTCCAATAAATTTATGGCCATTAAATCCGGTGTGTGTTACCTGTTAAAATACTTCTCACCTTTGCCTTTGCCTATGTTAAACTCAGCAGACTGATTTCTCTCAGCTTCAGCAACAAGCACAACCCTATTTTCAATTTTAACCTGTATTATAGGCTTCTTCATCACTTTCTTAAAGTCTAGAGATGAGCAGCAAAAGAACAAATTCGGCCTGATTTGTAATGGTTGTTGATGTCCCTGGAGTAAACCTTCCCCCTAGGCAATCTGCCAATGTGACATCATGGGGTGTGGCCGCAAGCCTAGGCACTGTCTCTTACCACTGTAGTTGGGTATTCCTGATCCAAAATGCTCAGGACTGTAAGTGTTTCAGATTACAAAGCTTTTTGAAATTGGGACTGTTCCATAGAATACTAAATACTTCACTGTATTTGATGTTGATATAATTTGTGGAGGGGAAGAGAAAAAAACAAACTGTTTAAATAGGATTATAGGTGGACCCATTACAACAATGAGATGTACAAGACGTTATGTGGAAAAATGAACTTTACAACTTTGGCGGGGTGGGGGGTGGGGAGGCGTGGAGGGGGGTGGGGGGGTGTGAGGGTCGGGGGTGGAGAGGAGAAGGGATGGTATGGGGAAACAAAGGAGAAGGCAACAATGCTTGACAAGAAATGTACTCACTACCTTGCCCATGTAATTGTAACCCCTCTGTATGGTATTTTCACAATAATAAATATATTTATATATATAATAACATATATATATACAATAACAAAAAAAGAATACTAAATACTAAATGACCATTTCTAATGTGCAAAGTCTGACATTTGAAATGCACGAAAACTTAAAATGGATTACTCAAATGATTTGTTGTTGATGTTGTTTTAAGTCTTTCAAATTACAGATTTTCCGATTAGGGATGCTCAGCCTGTAGTTAAGAGTGGAAATTAGGGGGATGGGGAGGGCGAGGGGAGGAATCTTCAAACTTAAGAAATGTTAGGAAGGAAGAACCCGGGGAATTTGTTGGATATCAGGTAAAGGAAGCGTTTGGTAAACACCAGTTGGGGCTCTGGATATTTCAGGCCAGCAGGAGGAAAGAGGAGGAAAAAAATGGGGTGAACTTGGGATGTGTTCCATTTGATGTGCTCGTGACACCACGAGAAATCTCGACAAATGGCCTAGAGCTCAGAGAAAGCCAACGCCAGAGATGTAAATCTGCGATGTATTGATTGAAATGCTGGCAGCATATTCAATCATGTAAGGAGAAATGCCTGAGTAAGAGGTAAGGACTGCGACCTTTAAAACTTACTTAGAGGTCACCCCTCATAGGCCAAGGCGAGGGGGAACAACTAAGTGGAGAGCTAGTCTGGCCCAACAAGGACGTACTCTAAAGATGAGGAAGGACCTGGAGGGCAGATGAGGTCACACAGAAAGCGAGACGATCTGCAGCCTTGGGGCTTTGCCGCTGACGGGAGCAAAAAGCAGTTTCACTGAGTGGAAATCAAGAAATGAGTGGAGCTGGAGACATACAAGCAGGCAGCGGTTTAGCACGACTTCAAGCAAGCAGGGAGGAGGCGGTGGCAGCTGAGCGAGCACGTGGAGGTGACGGGAACTTAGAAATGCTGAGGGTGCGGATTTTCATCTGGAGGAAGACACTGCTGAGAATCTAACTGGAGGAGGGCACCGGCGGGCGCCCACCCGAGGTTCGCGGGACGGGGAAAGCGCAAGTGGCTCCGTTTCCACCAGCAGGGATGTCTCCTGATGACATGGCCAGTCTCGGGTTCGGAGCGGTGCGGGCCCGCGTGGGCAGGGGCCGGGGGTGCGTGCATGGTTCCGTGGCCCTGGCTGGGTGCGGGGCCCCTGCCGAGATGGTGGGCTGCAGGGCCCTGGGGAGTGGGGAAAAACGCACTCTCCGCGCCCCTCAGCGAGGCTCCTCCCGGGTGGGGAAGTCTGGAGTTCGGGGAGTTCTCCAGGGACACCGCAGTCCCTCCGTGGGGAGCGCGCACTCCGGCCTTTGACCCGCGGCCTCCGGGAGGCCCTCCCGATTCCCGCAGCCCGCCGCGCGAGCCACACCAGAGCCGCCCCTTTCCTACGGGCCACGCCCGGCCCCGCGCCCTCAGCTCGCTTCCTCCTCCCCAGCGGAGTCCATCCCTCTTTCGCCTACTAGTGGCCTCTGGTCTGACGTCACCCACTCATCCACCAATGAATTGAAGAGGAACCGGGCTTCGGCGCGTAAGTGACAGGAGAAATAGCCAATGGGAAGGCGGAGGGGGCGGGTCGGAGTGGGTGTGTGAGCCGGAGCGCCCGCGCGTGGGGAGCTGCGGGCGGCGGGGGGCGCGGCGGGGGGCGGCGCGCGGGAGGCCCCTCCCCTGCCGGCTGCGGGCGGGCACCTGGAGCTGCCGGAGTTTCCGCGCGCGGGAGGGAGATGCGGCCGCGGTTGGGGCTCCTTACAGGTAACGCGCGGGGCGGCCCCTGCAGGGCCGAGCGCGTCGCGGGGTGAGCGGAGTTGGGCGCGGAGTGCGCGCGGGGCTCCGCTGCAGCCGAGCCCCGCGCGCCCCGCTGCTTGCGAGGGCCCCGGGGGGCGGCGCCCAGTTCCTGCGGCCGGCCGTGCGGCTGAGGAGTTGGCTATGGGACCCGGGCTTCGGTCAGGGACGCGGGGCCCGGGCGTCGTGCGCACCGGGGCTTAGCACCTGGGACAAAGGGGCGGAGTGGAGCGGGCGCGCGCCCCGAAGCCGCGCCCCGGACTCCAGCTCCGGCCGTCCCCCCTGCCGGGCCCAGGCCACCCCCGCCGGCCCCGCGGGCGCGCTCCTCCCCCGGAGCGGCCACTTGGCCTCGGGGCCCCGCGCCGGGCGGCCAGCTGGCCGGGGTGCGGGCGCTGGCTGGGACGCCGGCGAGCCTGGCCGCTTGCCCGGGTCTCCGGGCAGGTCACCCGGCGGCTCCCCCGCCGCTCCGGGCGCGCGGTGCTTTCCTGCCCGGCATCGAAAGCAGGGGAGGGCGAGGGGCGCCGGCCGGGGCGCGGGGAGCCTCTGAGCCGCCCCCTCCCGCCCTGGGCCTGGAGTTGGAGAAGCCGGGCGGGTAGTGCAGCGACCACCCCACCTCCTGCCAACTCCACCCGGCGTCGGGTGTGGATGTTGCCACGGTGGGCTGTGTGTGTATTCTTATTTTAACCACACACAAAAGAAGGGAGCCGGGGGGGGGGGGGGGGACGAGCGGAGCCACTGAGTCATCCATCCACACTTTGCTCTTCCCGGAGCGTATGGATGATGCCTTGGGTAGCTAGAGTAATACGGGGTGACCGGATCCCCTCCTTGCCCCTTCCCTCTCCGCCCTCCTGACCCGGCCGGCTCGCACCCGGTGGAGGTGGTGGATGAAGTGATGCTGGTGGGCAGTGAGAGAAAATGGCTACAAGACAGCAAGCTGCAAAGTTTGTGGGACAGGAATTCAATGGGGAGCCGCACACAGACACTCTTGCTACGTAGGCAGCCCTGGCCCTAGCGCATCAGTGGATTAGAAAAGAGGAAATCAGTCTCCATACAACACAGTTGGCATCATTTGGTTCAGCCGGGCCTGGAGGAGCCTAGCGGGGATAGGCTGGTTCCCTTGGCTTCAGGCACCCGAGGTAGCTGCAGTTCTGTCTCTCCGTGGGGTACTGCCAGGCCCCTGATGCTGGGTTGAAACCATCATGGTTTTGAAATCTGATTTTTCAGAGGCAGTGTCACGTCTCAGCCTTACGGAGAGGGCAGCTAGCTGTGTGGATGGATGGTTCCTAACGAGAATGAAAGGCCAGGCAGAGGCCAGCAGCCCTCCCCTGAACATGGAAGAAGCTTCTACCCTAGGTGGCCGCTACTCATTTCCCAAAATGAATTATTTATATTGGGTCTCACTCCTCTGTTTACTTCAAGTCCGGGCTTCTGTGTCCACTGTCTCTGGGTCTCTGTGTTCACAGTTTAGTGCTATTTGGCTTTTCACGAGTCCCTGTTTGAGCTCTTTTTGACCTTTTGATTAATGGTTGATTAACTTAGCCCCTGAAAACAGAGGTTTCATATTAGAATTTTGAGGTCTAAAGAGACTTCTGGTTTTTCCAAGTATAGCTGAGGGGTCTGGTAATTCCAGCACACAAGTCAAATAGCCATCCAAGCCCTGGCAGTGACTTTGATGGAACACTGCCAAAATCAAGGCAAAAGCAAAGGTCCTCTCCAGTCCCTCCCTCCACAGGTGAACCTACGTCCAGGTGTGGCCAAGGAACTGGGTTTTCAGGGAAGACATGGTTCCCACGCTGGACAGCACCTAAAGAAGAGTAATAACATGAAACTTAGGGTCCAAGCAAAACACAGAAAGTGTTCCTTCTGGTTTCATGATATGCTTCTTTCCCCCGAGTGCCAAACCTCATTGTGGATCAACGGTCCTGTTGGAGGAAGGGGAGCCAAGATCAGGGTCACTGCAGGTGTACAGGACACAGAGATGCCTCATCAAGGATGGCATGTGTGGTATATGATCTGGTCATCTGATGGGCTGTTGCAGGCTGTTGGTAGGAAGCCCATCCCATCCCAAGAAGTAAACATGATATGGGTCTTCCCAAGACAGAAGGTCAGGGACTGGGTACCAGGAACTGATTTCTCCAGAATAATAGCAAGAATGGGAACCAACTGCTTACATGGACTTCACTTGATCCCTGACTGAACTTTCTGAAGAGGGCAGTGGTATTCAAATTGGCGATGATTCTTAGGAAGACTAAGAAGCTCAAGGCCATGCAGCCACCAAGTCCACTTGTGTCTGTCTCCAGATACCTTGCTCCCAACCTGCTAAGCAAGCATTCTGCCACTTGAGACAAGTCTCAGGCACTTTTTACTTTGGCTATTTTGAGGATAGGGTCTCACTTTTTCCCTAGAGCCAACCTGGACCTTGATCCTCCTATTTATGTTTTCTAACCACCATAGCTGAGGTAACAGGTGTGCATCCTCACACCCAACTTTTACGATTGCGTTGGAGTCTTGTGAACTTTTTGTCTGGGATAGCCTGCAGCTGCAGGCCTCTTAGTATTAGCCTTTCTCGAAGCTTGGGAGACAGGATCATACTATCATGCCCAACTATTGGTTCATAGGGAGCCTCTTGAACCTTTTGGCCTGCCTGGCCAGCCCAGGAACCAAAATGATCCCAGTCTTAGCCTCTCAGTTAGCTAAGATAACAGGTGTGAGACACCACAAGTGACATTATAGATTTTTATGTGTGGCATTTGCTATTGCAAGACATTTTCTGAACCATTCTGGTAGACGTGTGAACAGTAAATGAAAAGGGCATTTGTATTTTTGGTGACAGCATAGAAGTGGGAGCTTTAGAGATAAAGGACTCCTCTGAGAAGGAAAGGCAGGATAGGGATGTGGATGGGAAGAGGAGAGAGCCTGACAGACTGAGAAGTATGCTGAGAGCCTGAAGGGTAAAACTGCACAGACTCCGTGTTCCACTCCATCCCCACAGACAAGAAGGAAATCATTCTGAGATTGACTCAGGCGTCTGTTGACTTTCCCACGGTGGGGGCCTGACCTACTAGAGCCCTGCAGATGATGGAGTCTATAGTACTTAGGCATTGGCTGTTGCTTCAGTAGCAAAAAGGAGTCTGGTATGTCTAATGTTAAGATGAAGAGACACTGCCATTAACATAGGAGCACAGTTCTGTGAATCGGTAGTATTCCTTTAAGGTTATTTGAATTTCATAGCTAACTTTTATGAAATATTCAAATGTTGGTACCAGGGCTTGAACTAAGAGCCTAAGCATTGTCCCTTAGCTTTTTTAACTCAAAGCTGGCACTCTACCACTTGAGAGCCACACCTCTACTTCTGGGTTTTTGATGGCTAATTGGAGAGAAGCTTCTACTGGACTTTTCTGCCTATGCTGGCTTCAAACCATGATCCTCAGATCTCAGCTTTCTGAGTAGCTCAGATTATAAGTGTGAGCCACCAGCCCCCTATAGTTATACAAGCTTTTGTAGCTCCCAGCTGCTATGTTATTCTCCTAAAATTGGTATAAATATTTGTTTTCCTCTGTGTAGGTTTTCCCAAATCAAAGAACACCTTTATTCCTTCTGTGTGAAAGCATGGTGTCTTCCTAACCATTCAGTCTTTTGATTTTTTTTTAAAGCAGCAGGAGCAATTTCTGTAGCTGAAATGTAAACACAGTAATTGGGGTCTTCACAGTGACCTGAATTGTGTTTGTAACTGTAATCTGGATTTAAGCAGTGGTTTAGCCTTTCACTGAAAGAGAAAAGAAGGCCACAGAAATAGGTGGATGGTTCTCCCAGCATGCTTTACCTCAGGTGATAAGGCCTAAGAGATTTTCAATGGAGAATTGCAGTCTTTTGTCTGGATTGTAAACTTGGACTTTCTGCCTCTGGAAAGGGTCAGTGTGGTCACAGAATGGCCTGTCCTGTTCTGTTGATCTGTCTCCACTTGTACTGAGACTAAAGGCTCTAGAAAAGATGCTTGTGGGCCTCAGGTTCCTATTGGCTAACTTCTAGTTAATTTTCATAATATAGAGTATTCACTTGAAGATCTGGAACCTACTAGAGCCTCCCAGGCCAGGGGACTAGGGTTTCCTTCCACTGCCTTAGTAGGGTAGACAAGAGCCCTGACACCTGTAAGCCAGTAGCACAGGATGTTTTTTCCAAAGAAAGTTGTTCCCTTTTGTGAAAGAAAGTATAGTTAGAATTACCAGGTTCCCTGAGCATCCATTACAGTCCTCATGACAACTGGATAAATAGAGATACTCTCATCCCTGCTTTGGAAATGAGAAACATCCAGGGAGTTTAAACTTAAACAAGATTGGAACTGAGCAGTTTGACCCAGATATGGTCCTGGCAAATCTACAGAAAGCAGCTATCAAGGTGTGGCAGAAATGGAGACAGATTTGCATTTGTGTGACTCAGTTACAGGTCTGGAAGCTGTTAAGACAGTTCTCACTGCTTGGAAAGTTCTAGAAGTAGGATTAGAGTCATGCACAAATCCATACAACTACGATCAAGGATGGGACAAAATATTTTGCTTGAGCCAGATTCCAGTGGCTCATGCCTATAATCCTAGCTACTCAGGAGATTGATGTCTAAAGGTCAAGGTTCAAAGCCAACTCTGGCAGGGAAGTCCAAGAGAGTTTTATTTCAACTGCAAAAAATCAGAAGTGGAGCTGTGGCTCAAGTGATAGAACACTAGCCTCAAGCAAAAAGACTCAGAGACAGTGCCCAGGCCCAGAGTTTGAGCCTCAGGACCAGCAATAATGATAATAATATTTTGCTTGTTAGTTTCCCCTCCTCTACTTTGGGACACAGACCAGCTTTTTCTAGGACAAAATGTTGTCTCAAACTCATCAGTTCTGTGTGTATGAGCCACTAACCCCGGAACCAATTACACAAGCATATGTCCCTCTTAGATTTCCCTCCTGCTACATACACGTGAGCCTGAAGAATGTTAGCTATATCAGAGTCAGGGCAATATTTTATATCCTGTATCCTCCCCTGACGCCCAGCTTACCCATGATTAACATTTACTGATTTTTCTTGACTGGATGAAGTTGACACTGACTTTTTTAAAGCTTTATAATCTGGATTATGGTGTTGATAAATACAGAGTTCCATTAAATCATTGTTTCTAAAAATGGAGCCCATTAACCCAAGGGCATCTATTTTTTTGTGTTTGCCAGTATTGGACCTTGAACTCAGGACCTGGGCACTGTCCTGTATTGTTACCCAAGGCTAGTACTCTACCGTTTGAGCCACAGCTCCACTTCAGACTTTTTGATAGTTAATTGGAGAAAAGTCTCGTGTACTTTCCTGCACTGACATCCATCCAAGATCCTCAGATCTCAGCTTCCTGAGTAGCTAGGATTATGGGCATGATCCAGAGACATATGGCTCCATGACTAATTCTATAGGTTATAATGGGGCTTGGGAATTTACCTGTGTGACGTTTCTACCCGCTAAAGTCTTTAAGAGCTATAACTCCACAATTTTTAATGATGACATCCTATGAAACCACAACTTAAATTACTATCTAGCTCTTACTTGCATAAGGTAAAGATCGCTACTGCAGAAGCATTCCTGACACAATGCACTGAAGATTATTTATGCAGTGTTATTTTTCTTGCAGATTTCTAACCAGCATAATGCTGGAGCCAGAGTCTGACAGCCTGTGGTTTTCAAAATGGCCGAGCTGGATGCTGATTTGGATCACATCATCCCATCTTCTGTCCTTGCCCCTTTCTGGGCCAAGTTAGTAGTGGGATTAGTTTCCCTCTTGTGTTTTGCACGGAGCTATGATGGAGATTTTGTTTTTGATGACTCTGAAGCTATTGTTAACAACAAGGTTTGTATCTTAACACTTTTCTGGGAAGCATACTGTATTCTGTATCTACCTGCCTGAGTCTCAAGAGTCTTTTAAGTTAGTGTAGGAGTCTCTATTTATTCTTGTGCCTGTACTAGGGCTAGAACTCAGGCCCTCATGCTCTCACTTAGTTTTTTTGCTCAAGGCTGACACTACCACTTGAACCATACCTCCACTTCTAGCTTTTTGTTGGTTAATTAGAGATAAGAGCCTCAGATTTGTCTGCCCAGGTTTGGCTTCGAACCACGATTTTCAGATCTCCACCTCCTGAGTAGCTAGGTTTACAAGTGCGAGCCACTAAGGCCTGATTTAATGTAGGATTCTTTATTAGATTTGGGCCAAGAATTTCTTTGGGTCCCCAGCTGTACTATGCATTTCCTTTCTTTCTGTCTCTATCTCTGTCTCTTTTTTTTTTGTATCATTTCCATAATTTAGTGTCTATGGTCGGCCTCCCCAGCCTAATACTTGTTACAGAAAGACTGATCTTCTAAGATTTCAAGACAAGTGTATGTCAGATATTCTAATTGAGTATTTCAAGTTTTATGAAAAATTCCAACGTAGTTGTCCCTTTCCTCCGCCCAAAAAAGAAGAAGGAAAGAAACTCTTGTGTTTGCTGCCATGATGGGTGGGTGGGGTGTGAGCACCTGCGGTAAGGTGTGCGCTCAGCCACATCTGCCCTTCACTAAATGTGAGCACAGCTGCCGGCAGCTTCTGGGGATGGGCAGCCTGCTCCCAGGGACACTGCAGCTGCTGATTGTGTCGTGTTTAGAGACTCACTCTTGCTGAACTTGGAGAGTCCAGGATAGTGTTGCTCACCAGTTGCAGCTACATCAGTCCAGGAACAAACAATATTCTTTTCACTTGATGACCAGAGTTAGAAAACACGAAAGTACTTTGTGGGGAGAAAAGGCAAAGATTGAAATAAGCTAAGAGGCTGAGAAATTTAGAGGCAGACAGGGAAGGCCCAGAGTAGAAAGAACTTGGAAGTGGTACAAGATGAAGGTTTTGTGACAGCCCATCTGTCACTCAACCAACAGTTTATGCATGCTGCTTAGCCAATGAAGAGGACAGGAAGGAATCACTTGTCTCTTTCCATAGGGCATGTAATCATGGGAGCTCTTTATACTTGAATGCTTGTTAAAAAAAAAAAAAAAAAAAAAAAAAGTTTTGGCTTTTGCCACAAGAGGAAGAAGTTATTTTCATATTTAAAGAATGCCATAGAAAATTGTAAAGCATGTTGGGAGATGAGTGTTTGCAGGTATTTTATTTGTGTTTTTGATGGCAGGAACAGCATTGTTGATAAATGCTTAGCTTTTTCTTTTCCTTCTCTTTTGTTTTCTTTGAAACAGTGTGGCTGTTTCAAAGTCCCAGGCTGGCCTGAAACTTACTGTGTATCCCCTGTTGGCTTTGACCTAGTGAGCCTCCTACCCAATCTTCCAGTGCTGGCCATGTACCACCATACTAGTTGATGTTTACATTTTTTTGTTTGGTTGGTTGCTTGCTTGCTATTTGGGTTGCTACTGGGGTTTGAACTTGGGGCCTTGAGTTTTCTAGTCAGGCACTGCACTACTTGAGCCATACCCCTCCAGCCAATGGGGGTGATAATGGCTCAAGTAGTGCAGCACCTTTTGCCCAGGCTTGCTCTAAACTGTAGTCCTCTTGACCTCTGGCCTCTGCCTCCCCAGTTAATGTTCACTTTTACTTTCAAGTGCTTCACTTGTTCTTTCCTTCAAGTTGTCATAGGTGACTGTGGGTGACTCAGAAGCTCTAAGCAAGTGGGTCACAGGCTTGCCAGTCACAGAATTAGCTTTTCTAACCAGGATTCATCCTTATTGTTTAAGTTCTGTTATTCATTTTGTGAGACTGGATATATGAATTGTTAGTTGGGAAACAGTGTTGAAAAAATTCCAGACGGTTGGCGCAGGGCAGAAGCATGGGTTCTGTAGGGGGTTGGGAGCGATGCCTGGTGTCGGCCTTCCTTCTGTATGAGAGGGTAGGTAAGGCATCTCTTGGCTCTGAGTATCTTCTGGAGTGCTTCTCTGTGCCCCTTATGGTAACTTGCCGGCCCGGCCTTCTCCTCCCCTGCTTAATGGAAGTCATGTCTCACTGCCTGGCACCCTGCCTGCAGTGTCATGAACAGGCTGTTTCTGAGTCTGGCGGTGTGGAAGACTGGCTTCCAAACACTTTCTTCTTTCTGTGCTGAGTTGCCTTTTTGTTCCACAAGGTTATGATCTTCTTTGAAACAGAAGAAGAGAAAAAGTTTCAGACCCAATTCATTCTTTCCGTAAACCATGAGGAAAAATCGACCCACCTTTCTGTCATGCACCCTGTGGCACATAGACTGCACCTAATCAAATATTTAGAGCTTCCTGGGTGCTTTTTCCTGTTGAGAGGGAGAAGGAGCTGCCCTGACTCACCCTTCACCACTGCACAAGCCCTTCTGCGACCATGTAGAAGTTAGGTAGGTTGCCACTTCTGTCACTGAGTCTGCTAAGTTAGCTGGTGGATTCCATGTCTGTCACAAAACACTGCACCAGCTCCTGGGGTGCCTTGATTCAGATCCCCAGTAGAAGTAAAAGTCGTCCTTGCAGTGGTTATCCAGTAACCAGCTTTGTTCCTGTCCCTTCTTCTCAAGACTTTCTCTTTGGTTCAGTAAGCACCGTCAGTACCAGGCATTGAGCTGTGCAGTATGGACATTTGCTGCTCCTTGAGATGGCCCGGTATCTGACAGCTGTTCTGTGGCACATTCTGGTGTGTGTTAAAGACCGTTCTGTTAGGAAGCTGGCACCTGCAGGGGCCCTCCTATCAGGTGCTCAATTGCTGGAGCCTCATTGCAAGTGAAGAGATGAGGGCAGTCCTGGCCATGTGTCCGGTGGCATGACTTGCTCACACTCCCTGCCTGCGTAGTACCTTCCTGGTGGTCCAACAACCTGGCAGGTCTGTGAAACTCTCGCTCCCCTTCAAAGTACTCCTTCTGTTCAAAGAATCACAGCAAGTTTGGCTTCTGGAAAGAGGGATCTTTACCAATGGAATGGGCAGTGCATTATATACCCTAGTTTTCTGCTGTAAGGAGAAAATTAATAACTACATTCATTACTTTTTCCTCAATGTCTTATTTGCCTTCCATTTAGTTTATTGTTTTAAATGAAAAAAATAGTCTTTTTATTGTTGTTACTGTTTTTGAGAAAAGATCTTGCTAGGTAGCCCATGTTGGCATCTAAATCACAAATCCTCCCGTGTTTGCTTCTCAAGTGCTAGGATTTCAGGCACATACCCTCATGACTGGCCGACAAAGGATGCATTTTTAAACTTCTCTAGCATTACCTCAGCAGCAAGATTTTTTTTTACTATTTACAGAGTTTTATCTTTAAAAAATATATGGAAGATTTCCCCCCTCATCTCCTAGTTGTACTTAAGTCATCAAAAATGGAAAACTTAAAAAATAAATTAGCCACACTTTTTTTTTTTTTTTTTTGTCGGTCGTGGGGCTTGAACTCTGGGCCTGACCGCTGTCCCTCAGTTCTTCACCTCAAGGCTAGCGCTCTACCACTTGAGCCACAGTGCCACTTCTGGTTTTCTGGTAGTTTATTAGAGATAAGAGTCTTTTAAGCTAGGGGTTGTTTTTATAAATAATCTTACTATGTGAAAGATGATATTGATCCTATTTATCTGACTTGTCCATTCAGCATATATTAAATACCTTTTTTTTTTTTTTGGTATTTCCAGTACACAAGACCTGTGATCTAGGCCTTGTGGAGCCTCAACCTAGTGATCAGATAGTGTGATGATTATAGGCTACCAATGTGCCAAGAGTTATAGGAGATGGGACAAGAGTGACAGGTGGCAGATGCCCAGATTCAAGGGGTCAGGATCCACTCAGAGTCAGCAAGCTTCAGGGCCAAGATGTGAACAGCGGAGGAGTTAAGCTGTGGGGCGTTAAGGCCGACTGAGGTCATCTAGAGATACCTCCATGTGCAAAGCCTTTGTGGTGAGCTCCCAGGAGTGGGGCAGGAGTACAGAGTCAGCTACATGTGCCAGTGGAAGCTTTGTGGCAGCTCTGTAAAGACATCAGCTTTGTTCCAGGCTGTGGGAAGCTATCAGAGGGGCCAGGGCAGCCACCCAAGGCTCTTATCATACAGAACATAACTGAAGGAGCACATCGCTGCTCAGAGGCCTGGCTCCATGCTAGGCAAAGAGAGGTGGTATTGGTTGGCACAGAAATGGCAGCACTGAGAATTCATGGGAACTCTCAGTCAGAGTGGTGAGGGCTTCAACAGAGAGCTGGGAAAGAATTGTGTCTCCCTCATCCAGAATGTCCCCTGATGTGTCCTGCAGGATCTCCAGGCAGACACTCCTCTGGGGGACCTGTGGCATCATGACTTCTGGGGCAGTAGACTGAGCAGCAACACCAGTCACAAGTCCTACCGGCCTCTCACCGTCCTGACGTTCAGGTGAGATGACAGCTTGGGGCGGTGACAGCCATCCAAGGCTTGCGTGTGACCTTGCATGGCTGTGTCATCAGCTGTGGTGGGACCAGCTGGCGATTCCCATAGGCAGAGACACTCCTATATTCTAAGAATTCCGTGCTCATTTCAAGTCTCAGGAGATGTGCCCAGTGAGACTGGAGGATGGGCCTGAGGAAAGATTTCAAAGTGCTCATGCCCACAAGCACAGATGAAAACTAGAAAGCTGAAGAAAAGGTTAACGCAGCCCTGAGTAAGGAGAATGCTCACATTAGTTAAGTGCTCCACATTTTTTCTTTCCTGAGATGCACCCTTTATTGCCTGGCTAGCACCTAGGGAACAATTGATATGTGTCAAAGCAACATGAGGCTTCTGATGAAATTGTGAAGGGTTTTTCCCCCCATAACAAAAGTAAGATAGAAGTCACTATGAAAGCTGGGCGCCAGTGTCTCATGCCTATAATCCTAGCTACTCAGGAAGCTGAGATCTGAGAATCGAGGCTCAAAGCCAGCCAGGGCAGGAAAGTCCGTGAGACTCTCATCTCCAATAAACTACTAGAAAACCGAAAGTGGCGCTGTAGCTCAAGCTGTAGAGCGCTCATCTTGAGCTGAAGAGCGCAGGGATGGCCCCCAAGCCCAGAGTTCAAGCCCCATAACCAACCAAAAAAGAAGTCACTGTGAAGAAATGAAAAGTTAAAAACAACCTTCCACCTCTATTAATCAGGGAGCGATTACATCACACAGGTCTCATTACTGCACAAACATTCTCGCTCATACCTATTGGTTGGGCTAATACTTGTGCATAGATCTCTCAGAGAAGCAGGAAACGGAGAATTGGAATCACTAGTACCCGAGAAGAAGTCAAAAGTAGGCATCACAGACAGTGAGGAGGAGGAGGACAAGCTGGCTAGCTTGATGTTAGAAGCACTTCTTCGTGGATAAGTTGCACAACTCTTAAATCTAAGTCCTGACAGTATATCATGTCTTATTTGGAATGCAGTCCTTCTTTTTCTGTTTTTCTTCTGTGACACTTGGGGTTTGAACTCAAGGCCTTACATTTGTTAGACAGGTGCTCTACCACTTGAACTAATCACCAGTCCCCTTTTGCTTTAGTCATTTCCAGGTAAAATCCCACACTTTTGCTGGGCCAGCCTCAGACCTCTACCCTCTTACCTACAGCCTCCTACATAACAGGAACAACAGGTCAGCTTCCATGCCAGGCTTGTTTGTTGAAATGAGTCTTGCTGACTTTTTGCCAGAGCTAGCTTGTAACTGTGATCCTTCCAATCTCTAGCTCCTGAGATTATGGGCATGAGTCATCATATCCAGTCCTAAGTGCTTCCCTTTTTTACACCTTAAGAATTATCTAGCTGGACACTATGACTCACACCTGTAATCTCAACTACTCAGGAGGCTGAGATCTGAGGATCACAGTTCTAAGGCAGCACTGGCAGGAAGGGCTATGAAACTTATCTCCAGTTAACCCACAAAAAGTCAGAAATGGAACTGTGGCTCAAATGGTAGAGTGCTAACCTTGAGCACAGAAGTGCAGACACAGTGCCCAGGCCCTGAGTTAAAGCCCCAGGACTGGGCACACACGCACACACACACTTATCTAGCTTCTTTTTTTCTAGTGTTCCTGGTAACATGTCCATTTCTTCCACTCTCCTTTCTGTGGGTAACTGTTCACACCATGTCTTCAGGCCCTTGCTGTTCCATTGAACACCGTCCACACATCTAGTGTAACCATCCTGTGTCCAATGTAGGCTCAACTACTACTTGTCTGGCGGCTTCTACCCGGTGGGTTTTCACGTGGTCAACATCCTCCTACATGCCGGCATCTCTGTCCTCCTGGTGGACGTCTTCTCGGTGCTGTTTGGTGGTCTGCAGTACACCAGTAAAGGCCGGAGGATGCACCTGGCCCCCAGAGCATCCCTGCTGGCAGCCCTGCTGTTTGCTGTCCATCCAGTGCACACCGAGTGTGTAAGTACCACCTGCCTGTGACATCTGCAATTGTATAAGAAACCCAAAGGTGTCCATGAGCCATCTTGCTCACTAAGACGGGCTTCCTTCCAGCACTTGAGTTGGCTCCAGAGTTCCACAGTAAACAACCCAGTGTACACCACATAAGCACCCTCCACTTACAGTTGAGTCAGTTGTTTCTAGGTCAGCCACGTTTCTCTCTGCCACCCTGGGGAGACTTCATACTGAAGGTATAGTGCAAGCTCTGGTGACAGCGTCTGTGTAGCTTGTGTCACGACCCCAGCCCTAAAAGTATGATGATGAATTTGCCTGGCTTTGGAATCTAAAGGTCAGTAGCAGAGAGCCCTTCATTAGCAGAGGGCCTGAGACAGCTTTTCTGTGGTAGCTGACAGCTTTATGATTTACGAAATGCTTTCATGATATGATTGTCATCAAAACGCTGTGATGTCCATCTCGAAGAAGCCCTTTACAGATGAGGCAGTGGCCCTGGAGGGTAGGTACAGGACTGACTTAGGGTCTGTCACAGGTAGGAGCGGGATCAACTTAAGTCCTGGGCTTCTGAAGTCCACACTGAGGATGTGCGCAGCTGCTCAGGAAACCACTCTGCCTCTCCCGTGGGCCCTCATCTCCGGACGGACTTGACTTGGATGAGGTGGAGGGGAAGCCCTGACAGCTCAGCCCCTCCCATGGCCCCTTCTCTATGCCACTGAGCTGCTGCTGCATGTATTCTGGGTGTTAGCCAGAGGCTGTTAGCCCTCCCCACCCCACCCTACATCTGCTTCAGTATTGCTCTCACAGGACACTCCTGTAAATGAGGGATTTAGAGAGAGAGAGAGAGAATTATATTTTTCCTTCAGCAAATTGGGAGGACCGAGGACCTTGGCACTAATATAAGAATTCTGCTAAATCTCGTCACCTGAGATTCCATGTGAGTTAGGATTGGTTGTAGTCTCAGGTCTCTACTGCAGAGTTGAAATAAGGAGAAAGAAAGGTTAGGAAATTCTGTTTTCTTTCATTATTTTTATTAGCTTATATTTTGTACGGTGTTAGAGGATTTCATTGTTGGATTTCACACATGGTTGCAATATCTTCTAACCATCCTCATCCCCTCTAATTCTTCTCCCCTACTTTCTCTCCCCTGCCCTCACAATTTCAGAAGTTTCCCTTGTTCAGTTTTTATAGTTGCAGGCACTTTATTTATCTCTTTCAAATATATTTCAAAATTCTTCACCCGCTATTATTTTTCCTTCCCTCCTCATCTTCTAGTAAAGAATCCCTTAGTTATATTCATGTTAATGTTTTTCCATATCTGTGCATACTTATGCAAATGGATATATGTATATGTATGTGTCCATCTTTGAGATCTAGCTTGTGAGTGAAAACACAGTATTTTGTTTTTTGAGCCTGACTCATCCGCTCAGTAGGATATCTCCCGATTCCCACTGTTTTCATCTTGTGACTCTTTCCTCTCACTCTGTTCCCCAATTTACCCATTGACTCCATTTGGGCCTGACAAATAGATAGGTAGCAGAGGCAGCTTGGAAAGGTCATCCTGTGTCCTTTTTGGCCTAAGTGATGACTTTTAATAAACGTTTCCCATTTTATATCCTTCTTGCTTCTAAACAGTTGTTTGTTTGTTTGTTTGGTCATGGGGTTTGAACTCTGGGCCTGGGCACTGTCCCTCAGGCTCTTCAGCTCAAGGCTAGTGCTCTACCACTGGAGCCACAATGCCACTTCTAGCTTTTTTCTATTTATGTGGTGCTGAGGAATACAACCCAGGGCCTCATGCATGTGAGGCAAGCACTGTACCACTGAGCCACCTTCCCAGCCCCAGCAGTTTTTTTTCAATATCATAGCCTCTGAGCTGATAACATTTTCCAATTAAAAACACTCTGTGGGGCCATGAAAGGCCCAATGCAGAAGATCTTGGTGTAATGCATTAAAATCTGCTGGGCACATGTCACTAGTGTACACCTTGCACAGTCACTGTTGAAGCCAACCCACCTTTTCCAAGCAGTCTCAGACCCAAGATGAAGAGAGCCAATTATAAGACAGTACCACAGAATTATTGCACTGTTGCACATTCGTTAGTGATTAAGACTAGCAGGCTGCTTGTTTTATATGTCAAAGGGATATGTTTGTATTTCTAATGTGCAGCAATGCTTATATGTGTCTTAGTAAATCTCTTTCTTTTCCCCTTCTTTTAAGGTTGCTGGTGTTGTCGGCCGTGCAGACCTCCTGTGTGCCCTGTTCTTTTTGTTATCTTTCCTTGGCTACTGTAAAGCATTTAGAGAAAGTAAGCATTATGTTTGCCTTCTTAATTTTCAGCCTGTATGTTGTTGTCCTGTCAAGCAGTGTTGTAACAGGTGGGAAATGATCTGTTTGCTCATGATCATGAGAGAACATGGGTCAGAGGTATAATTTGTCCTTGATCTGTCTGTCTACTCCATTGCCTTTATCATAACACATAGCTCAATAATGCTGATGCAACTGTTGATATGGGAGTGTTGGGGTGGAGGGCATCAAGGGAGCAGGCACCAAGCCACAGGAGGAAGCAACACCTGACCCCAAGCACTTGGGGTAGATTTTTGCTGTTTCATTTCTGGCTGAGTCATGGGATTGAGCACTAGTCTGGATTCTAGATGCCCTACGTGTTTATAGCTCAGCCACTAGCCATAGTTTCCTAGCGTGGGTCAGACCACACCCATGAGAGCCTTTACTCGCTGTGCCTGCATGTTCCTTCTGCGCCATGGCACCTGAGCTTGTTTTGGAGCACATGTTGTCTCACAAGGGTGACTTCCTGAGATCTAGTACCCCAGACTCACACCCTCTGTGTTAGAAGCACAGCGTTTTCATTAACATTTCTGTGTTTCTAGTTTTCTTTGCTCAGTTTTAGCTCAGTTTTAAACATGTGAAAAATGGAGTGCGCTCCTTTGTCTGTAAGTAAGAGCTCTTTGGAAGAATCCTGAAATATCCTGTTAATGTTCCACTTTGCACAAAGGGTGCCTAGGAGTCTGAAGAGGTGCACAGTGGCCAGGTGCTAATGGCTCATGCCTGAAATCCTAGCTACACAGGAGGCTGAGAGCTAAGGATAGAGGTTTGAAAGCCAGCCTAGGCAGGAAAATCTATGAGACTCCAGTTAATAGCAGAAAATCAGAAGTGAAGGTATGGTTCAAGTGGCTTAATACCCTTAGTTCAAGGCCCAGTACTGGCACCAAAAAAAAAAAAAGGTATACATTATTCACAAACTGAGATTACCAGAGGAGAAATCAGAGTCCTGTATACAGAAGTCATTCATTCAGGCATAAGTACATGTGGTCTCCAATAGAGACTTACAAGCCTATGTTGTTCATTCCATCAACTAATCAGAAGCCAAACTTTAAGGGTATTTCTTATACCAGACCATGGGTTTGCAAACCTAGAGAGACAAAAGTTCATGTTTGGACAGGGCTCTGGACTTACAGATGTGTACGTGTGTGTGTGTGTGTGTGTGTGTGTGTGTGTGTGTGTGTGTGTGTGTGTGTTCCTGTTTGTATCAGTGCTATTGAGTTACATCTCCAGCACCAGTCCAGTATATTTTGATTAAAATAAATCTCACGCCTATAATCCTAGCTACATGAGAGGCTGAGATCTGAGAATCGCGGTTCAAAGCCAGCCTGGGCAGGAAAGTCTGTGAGACCCTTATCTCCAATAAACCACTAGAAAACCGGAAGTGGCACGGTGACTCAAGCGGTAGAGCGCTCTCCTTGAGCTGAAGAGCTGAGGGACAGCACCCAAGCCCAGAGTTCAAGCCCCACAACCAACCAAATAAATTTTTAAAAATAAAATAAAGCTTGCATTTAGCCTGATGCCTTAAGAACAGACTATCTCCATCCTCCATACTTTCCTGTGAACTTTGTCCTCCTGTCCTTACCTCTCAGCCTTTGCTCAGTGTTACCTTTTCATGTTTGCAGAACAGAAGGCCATGGCCTTTGTACCAGTCATTTCTTGGCTGATCTCTCTAATTTCCCTTGGTCTAATAGAGAAGAGCTTTTCATACTCCTGGGAATTCAGTGTCTATATGTTCATTTGGAGTTAGGAATGTCTTATGAGTAACCACATTTATGTTTTCCCCGAACTAGTCAGTACAAATGTACAAAATCCAGGTGGCCAATACATATGCATGTCATTGCAATGACAGTTCCTGTTCCACTTGCCCATATTTGCTCATGTTCAGCAGAGAAGCAAAATTTGGCCATGGTATAATTTAAATCTAGTATTTCCTGGGATGCAAATCATCATGCCACTGGATGTTTAAAGTGAACTGTTTAAAGATTTGATTTCCGTACATGTTAGAGCTGAATGTAAAGTTTAATAAAGGCCTGGCATTAGTTACACATAAACATGAATTTCTAAAAAGGTTTTCACAGTGAAACAGACTTAATATTATTTTACAAGGACCAAAAATTGAAGTACTCTGAAATTAATTATTTAACTAGTTAAAAGGCTCTTTCAGAGACCACATCTCTTTTTGAGTAACCTCATTAGGTTTCTTTATAGACACAGTGTCTGTATTATAAAGCTCTGGACAATTTTTAACTGCCTAAGTTTATTAGCAAGCAGCTCTGTGCTGAGCTCTGGAATACTAGCATTCAGAAAATGAAAAAAAAAAATCTACTCATATACCATTTCCAGACCTCTTTCTGGTTTTTTTTTTTCTTTTTGTTATTATTGGTTTCTTTTTCTTTGTTCTCTTTTATCTTTTGTGTACTTAACTATGTCTCCAAACAAGGCCTTTTGCAACAGAATCAAAAGGCATGTTTCCTTGTAAAGGCAGCACACTTGCATTTAAAAAATAATAATAATTAAGTCATTATATCACTAACACTACTTATTATTTCTGAGTACCTGAAACAAACAGTGCTATTCTTGCAATGAGATATTTTGTCAATATTTTTATCTGTTTTAAAGCCTGGTATTTCCTATTGGAAACAATCCATACACAGTAAGCTTGCTAGAATCAGAAAAAGGTTTTCCCTTTTAAACTAATAAAATAGTCGTCTTATTGGAATGACACTGAGAGGCAGAGAGTCTCTTCCATTGAGGAGGGGATTTGCTGTGTTTCAAGGACAGTCATTTTAATCCTAAACTATAATTCATAATTCCAAAGATGAGAGATCAAATCTCTGTTGTTTTTAACCTCCTAAGTATTTTCTGCTCACTCCTTAGCCTAACACAAAATAGTTATAATTCCTTTGTGTTTTCAGTCTAAGTCATTCATTTTTCTTTGACTTAGAATCACTCAACTTACAGAGCATGGCAGCCGCCCAACTCACATCCTACTGGACACCCACATTTAATGGAGTTGGGGCTGCTGCTGAGTGAATGCCGACGGTGGCAGCCAGGTTTCCCTTTCTTTCTGCCATCATGTTTCTTTGGTTCCTCCAATGCTTAATTTTCCCAAATTTGAGGACAGCAAGTTCAACTTTCCTTCTGCACATGAAAGCAGGCTTGGTTGGGTCCAACTTTTGGATGTGAATCTGATGCTCATTGTGTGACTCTGGCAGCTTCAGAGTCGTGGCCACCTGTCAGGGTGGCACAGTTCCCACACACACCATGACGTGCCAGTTACGCTAGGCAGAGATGCCAGGCAGAGGGTGGTGAAGAGGGCTCACTTGTACAATGTGCTGCTTTTGCTGAAAGGAGAGCTTCCCCCCTGGAAGGAGTGCCAAGTCTGAGGCACATGCTTCATTTAATGGGTCACATCTGTTGGCACTTGTGGGCGTTAGTGCTGACAAGTGTCTTTCCGCATGTTGCTTTATTTATTTATTTATCCACCTATTTATTTCCCTACACTTCCTTCACTGGTCAGCCTTTACCTCCATTTACCTAAAGGGTTGAATTATCTTTGCTAACATACAGTACTGAATTAAGGAAAGCATCATCAAGGCAAATCTCTGTTACATTCTGGATCTTAAACTGGTGATGTGTGCCATGGCGTGTAATTGTAGCCCAGTGAGTGGTCTTCTGAAAAATGAGAGATGCAGCATGGTTAAGAATGGTACTTTTTTCCCATCCTCTCCTGAGTCATTGGAGCTTAAAATATAACAATCTGGACAATGAGGCTGAGAATTCTGGGTAAAGGTGACATCCTGCCGCGCTTATGCAGAGCCATGTACAAATTAGAATTCCTTGTCTTGGGGAAATTTTCCTGAACAGAGATAATCCCTAAGTCTTAACTACACAGGAGGTGACATCAGCTTCTCGAAATTTAGTTTTACTGCTTTTAACAGTTACTTCTCAGTTTAAAATTTGAAACCTGTATCTTTTGTGTGTGTGTGTGTGTGTGTGTGTGTGTGTGTGTACCGGTACTATGGCTTGAATTTAAAGACTTGTAACTCTCACTTAGCTTTTTTGCTCAAGGCTGACACTCTACCACTTGAGCCACAGCTCTGCGTCTAGTCTCTTAGATTTGTCTTTTTGGAGTGGCTTCTCACCATATCCTCAGAGTAGCTGATGTCCAACTTTAATATTCTTAATGTAATTTTTTAAATATATTTTTAAAAGTCTTTTACCTATTGAGACTTATTACAGTCCTGAAGAATCCAAAGGCTAAATTAAAAGTGAGAAAACTTCTGGCAGTATTTTTCTATACTAGGAAAATTATTAGCTTTATTCAATGTTATTACATCTCAAGAAATATCACAATAAGGAAGATTTCTAGGCATGAAAATAAAGGAAACTATTGACTGATAGTATATAAGTAGCAATCATATAAATTACTAAGTCCCAACTATTTGTAAGGTGGCCTAGTGCTATCTACTCAGTCATCTTATTGAAATCTTCAGATTTGAAATTCAAGAATGGTTAATGTCATTTGGTAATAAAAACAATGTCACAGAAACACAAGTCCAACTTCATCAAGGCTATGTTATATGTTGGCGATTATTAGCATTAGTCACCTTGATAAACCAAAACTCAAAGTAAATTTTAATTCAGGGAAGTATGTGGGTAAAACTATGTGAGTCTAGGCTACCCCAGAACTCATACCCAGTACGTTGGTTTAGTTTTACTGGAATGAACTTTGGTTGCTCACCCCAGTACTGTAAGTATTTTGCCGACATTACATAGGTTGGCCCTGGTTTATCATGAACTTCAACACAGACTCCACATTTGTAGAAGGACCCCTTAGACTTATATAGTTTAAAAACATTAAGTGTTTTGGTGGAAAACTCAAAAAGCACACGTGCATGCTTAGTCGTATGACTCTTGCTAAAATATTGAGTGGTTAATCTGGCAAAAATTATAGGAGAATAG